AACTATGTGAAACGAGTTTCAAAAGGCGTTTGTCTATGTTGTTTTGATAATATAGGGTTCAATATTTCTTCACATGAACTTATTCGACGTCTGAAACGATCATGATCTCGAGCAATCTGAGTAATAGCAAATTTGGAAGAATTGTAAAATTATTGAAAACGATATTATAACAATTTCAAAAACTATGAGTTAAACTTCACGCTACGAGTTGAGATGCAGTAAACTGAACTTGACTTTATATTGAGTGTGTACACGGAGAAAAAAATACATCGTAATTTTGTGAGAATCCTTCCAAAAATTAGTGTGCTGTTCACCAACGCTGGGACATAACAGGGAGTCATCGGAGAATTCGCATGTAGCACACTAATTTTTACGGGAATCCCCCGAAAAAGTGGCCGGAGTCCCACCAAAAATTAGGGTGCCACTTATGAATTTTTCGACGACCCCATGTTATGTCCCGGCGTTGGGGAACAGCACACTACTTTTTGGGAGATTTTTTTCTCAGTGTATCGTGCAGAGTTCGCGAGTTATCCCCACTCCAACTCCCAATGGATGATTCATCATGGAACAGTCAGGAACCATCGAGAATATTCGAGACCAATCGAGTATCCTATTTCATGCAAGTCTCAATAGGACTCAACCGTCACCCCCACCCCACGAAACGATGACTCTCCATTACGTCATCCATCTCGAAAGTTCCGTGATTGTGGCGTCAATATCCAATTACATACAAGTTTTGACCGGTCAATATATTTCATACAAGTCCCAACAGGACTAAGGGACATCCTTCTCGAATGTACAAGTCTCAGCAGAACTTACGGGAAACCCCCACTTCGCACATCGATGAGTTATCAGTCTGAGTGACTCACCCATATCATTCATCTTGAAAATATTCGACCAATGCTTTCACATATTTGCACGTGTTTGCATATGTTTGTAAATGTTGTCCAATATTTTCAAATGTTTGAAGAATGTGTACAAATGTTTGCAAACGTTGTCAAATGTTGTCAAATGTTTGCAAATGTTGTCAAATGTTTGCAAATGTTTGCAGAATGTTTGCAAATGTTGCCAAATATTTGCAAATATTATCAAATGTTTCCAAAATGTTTGCAAATGTTGTTAAATATTTGCACATATTTAGGACTTATGGAGAGTTCCCCCACCGTGCAAGTAAATGAGTCATCAGCCTAAGTGACTCATGATGACGTCATTCATCTCGAAATTTCCGCGATTGTGGCGGCAATATTCAATTTCACCCATGTGTTCACAGGTTTTCATAGTATTATGTTCCATACAAGTCCCACCAGGACGGTTCTCCCACCATGCGAGTCGATGACTCATCCATGACGTCATCCTTTTCGAACGTTCCGCGACGGTGGCGCCGCCTAGTGGCGGGGTAAGACATTGCCACTCGTTCTATCACTGTACGTTGTGAGGTTTAACTGACAGAACTGTGACTCGAATTGAATGTGGACTGTGCAGATGGTACGCGTTATATAGGGATCCCCCACCCTGATGGTAGCTTATGACTCATCTCAGAACATTTGAGAGCCTTGGAGAATGTTCGAGATCAATCGAGAAAGAAATAATTGATATCTTCCTCCGATTACATGATGATTCATCATGGTATTATATTTCATGCAAGTTCCAACAGGAATCAGAAGGTACCCCCACCATGCGCGAGTTGATGAGTCATCAATGACTCACTAATGATGGTGGTGCCACCTCGTGGTGGTTGAGTGAATGATTGTTTGAAAAATTCACAAGAATGTTTGAAACTTCTTTAAAACATTTTGAAAAGATTTGAAACATTTTCGAAACATTTTCGAAACTTTTTTGAAAACATTTGAAACATGTTTGAAACATATCGAAAACATATTATATCCTATATAGCGAACAAGAATAACGACTTATCCCCACTACATATTCCATTAAGCACAAGTCTCAACAGGAATTATGAGATATCCCCACCCCACATAACAATGAGTCATCCCCAGATATTCATGATGATATCATCCTTCGAGAACATTCCCCCGACCGTGCTGCCACCTGGTTCTCGAATGTTCAGGATGGCATCATCCTTCGAGAACATCCCCCCGACCGTGCTGCCACCTGGTTATCGAATGTTCAGGATGACGTCATCCTTCGAGAACATTCTCCCCCGACCGTGCTGCCACCTGGTGGCGTAGTTTTGGCCCAGAAGATGAGTCATCAGCCCGAGTGACTCATCGATGATGTCATTCATCTCGAAATTTCGGCGATTGTGGCGACAATATTCAATTTTATCCATGTGTTCAAAGGTTTTCGTAGTATTATATTTCATACAAGTCCCACCAGGACGGTTCTCCCCCCATGCGAGTCGATGACTCATCGATAACGTCATCCGTTTCGAACCTTCTCCAGCTTGTGGCGCCAATATCCAATTTCATGCAAGTTTCAACAGGTCATTATATTTCATACAAGTCCCAACAGGTCTTGGAGGGATTCCCCCCACCACACGAGTCGATGAGTCATCGATGACGTCATCCTTCTCGAACGTTCCGCGACGGTGGCGCCGCCTAGTGGCGTAGTTTTGGTCCAGAACCCGCCTAGCCTGACTACTAAGCAACGAGACTGGCCGCCGTCACTCCGAAGATCATCACCAATAATCCCATTAAAATGACAAATCCATTAAACAAGCGGAATAAGAGCAACAAGGATAATTCCAGGCCACAACTGCTATTGGCCAATACAGAGGAAATCCCATGCCCGATCTGCAAATCCAAACACTCGGTTGATACCTGCGAGAAACTGCTGGCCCTGCCCACGCTTGACCGCATACAAGCAGTACGGAGAGCAGCACTTTGTGTCAACTTCCTCACACCAGGTCACAAAATTCGAACGTGCCAAGAGGATAGATGTAATAGCTGTCACAAACGACACAACACTCTTCTCCATCTGAACGAGGAAGAGCTAAAAACTTTCAAAGCAAAAACAGCATGACTACCCGTACCCATTATCTCGGAAACCCCCTCAACGGTCAATAGTACAGAGCGCAGCGCAGATAATTTTCAACGGCAACCTTTGGTAACCCTTGTGACCACTTTGCCCTCCAAGGATTTGATTGTAACAGCAACAGTACTCGTTTTCAATAATCAAGGAAAACCAATCAAATGTCGAACTGTGTTGGACACTGACTCTACAAATTTTATGACCGAAAAGTTGGGGACAAGATTAAAAATTCCAATGGAGCAATGCTCGATTCCAATCGCAGCAATCGGCAGTACCCGATCTGCTACAAATTATCTCGTCGAAGCAAAAATTCAGTCGAGAATTAATAAGTATTCGAGGACACTCAGTTTTCTAATGGTATCAGAACTTGGAGGATTACACCCAAATGAGCCAATAGACAGAAGTGTTCTCCAGATACCAAAAAAGATCGTTCTGGCAGACCCACATCTTGATCGACCCGCACCAGCTGATTTACTACTCAGTGCTGGTACTACATTATTGTTATTGTGTCAAGAGCAGATCAAACTGGACCAGTCAGGAGAATCCGACATTATCTTTTAAAGTACTCAACTCGGATGGATTATGGGGCGTAGCGTTATGTCAAGTAAACGTTCTCAAAATTCTTCACCAGTATCAAATCTACTCACCAATATTGAACCCAACATTGAGAGAATCTGAAAATTAGAGGAACTAGCAAAACGGCGTTATTTCTCCAAAGAGGAAGAAGCCTGTGAATCACACTTCAAACTTCACACTCATCGAGATAGTGCGGGAAAATACGTAGTATCATTACCCTTTAATGACAAAAAACCTCTTATTTCCCCCTCAAGAGTACGAGCTGAACGAATGTTGAATCAATTGTTGAGAAAATTCAAGCGTAATGAAGCTCTGGAGAAACAATATCGAGATATCACACTGAGAGAAAAAATTATTCCTGCCACGGATTGATATTCTCGTGAGAAGGTAATATTTTTTCAGAACGAATTTTTCCAGGACAGTCATTTTCAGAGAGTCCAAGTCTATCCTCAAAAATTACAGTGATGTTGAACAATCTGATTATTATGCTACATATGACCTTCACAAAATGTTCTCCGATATCTTCCGGATTTTACAAATTGGGGATTTTCTCAGGTAAAGAAATGATTCCAAATGTTAATAATTATTATTGGAGTTTCTTCGAGGTCATATGCAGAAGAATATTCTTATAGATCACCATAATTCTCACGCTTGGAACTGATTTCGGAGCACCTGGAAATGACTGGCCTGGAGAAATACGTTCCAAAAGAGATATTTTCTTCTACGAAGAGTATGAAAAAGATATCACCAATAATATTTTCTTGGAAGGAATAAATTTTTTTCTCAGTGCATGCAAGAATACATCGAGCTCGGCCACATATCTCAAGTGACTGAAACACAAGCACAAGAGACTGCGTTCTACATGCTCCACCATGCAGTGTTCAAAACGACAAGCCTGACCACCAAGGTACGAGTCGTATTCAATGCTTCAGCAAAGAGTGGAGAATTCGATGTGTCATTGAATGACGCTCTTATCACAGGACCGGCCATACAAGATGATATCTTCAGTTTGTTAATCCGCTTTAGAACTCACCAATTCGTTCTTACTGGTGACGTAGAGAAAATGTATAGACAGTTCTGGGTGAATGAGCAAGACAGGAAATACCAACGTATCATATGGGTTGGTTCGGACAATAACGTTCAGACCTACGAATTAAATACCGTTACGTTCGGTTGCGTCTGCTCCTTACCTGGCTATTCGGTGCTTTCAACAATTGGCCAAGGACGAGGGACAGGAATACCCAGAAGCAGCTCTACGAATCCAGCGAGACATGTATGTTGACGACTTATTAACTGGCGCTGACAGCAAAGATGAAATAATAAAAATTCGTCAAGATATTAATTCTGTTCTTCAACGGGGATGTCTAAACATGAGACAACGGGCTTCAAATGACCCGGGAGTACTTGAAGGACTACCTGAAACGAACGTGAATATGAAGCTTCAGACAGGTGACGATGCTACAATAAAAGCATTGGGTCTACATTGGGATTCAAAGAATGATTCCATCGTGTATACAGTTCATCCAATCCCGCTTATCAAAAAGGTCACCAAACGAATAGTCTCATCGGATCTCACAAAAATGTTTGATCCCTTGGGACTCGTTGGACCCGTTATCATGAAGGGGAAACTGATCATGCAACAATTATGGAAGGAGAAACTGGGCTGGGATGATCCAGTCCCTATCTCCATAAACACAGAGTGGAAAGCATATTTAGAACAACTCCCACTCCTCAACAACACACAGTTCAGAAGAAAAACGATTCTCGCCAATGCTACAGAGATTCAATTGCATGGGTTTTGTGACGCCAGTGACAAGGGGTATGAAGCGTACGGCTACCTGAGGACGCCCTACACAAACGAGACTCAGACGTACCTGCTCTGTGCGAAATCGAGGGTCGCCCCAATAAATAAAGAGGCGACTATCCCAAGACTCGAATTGCGCTTTACCTTATTGCTTGCTGAACTCATCGACACAATTAAAAATACGATCACCCAAAGAATAGATCGTACGATTCTTTGGTCAGACTTCATGATCGCGCTGCATTGGATAAATACATCTCCTCACAAACTCACAGTTTTTGTAGCTAATAGAGTGTCAGGATTTTGGAAAAATATCCTAATGCAGAATGGCGACACGTGAGAACCGACGACAACCCAGCCGATGACATTTCAAAAGGATGTACGCCAGAGGAATTTACGGATGACATCAAGTGGAAGCAAGGACCTATGTGGCTCAACACACCTGAAAAACAATGGCCAGAATCGAAACTCACAGTTCCAGCAGAAGTACCAGAGATACGGAAGGTCTATTGTCTCTTGAGTGTAGCACATTGCAAACTCCTACACAAATATTCATCTATTGGAAAGCCCAGGAGGATTATCGCTCTATGTTTACGATTGAAAACCAAGAGAAGAGGCCCAATGTCCGTCGAAGAACTCTGAGATGCAAATGATCGTATAATTAAACTTGTACAGGAAGAATGCTTCAGTGAAGATCTTAAAATATTAAGACGAGGAAATGAATTACCTCCCAAAGACAGATGGCTAGCAATAAGTCAATATCTAGATGCAAAGGGCTTAATACGAGTAGGAGGTCGGTTGAGGAATGCTAAGATACAATATTCTGAAAAACATCCACTCATCCTCCCAAAACGCCACCACATTGTCGATTTATTGATACAACGCGAGCATTTGGTCACATATCATGCAGGTGCCCAAACTACTCTGTACTCAGTAAGGAGGAATTATTGGATTTTGGACGCTCGCCAACGCGTAAGAGGCCAACCCGTAACTATAAACACCGCATCAGAGCCAAACCACTACCTACTGAGTATATTATGCGCGACTTACCTGCGGCCCGAGTGACCGAGGCTTGACCATTCTTGAACGTTGACGTCGACTATTGCGGACCCTTCTACATTAAAGAGAAGAAGTATCGCAACCGCACTAAAGTCAAGGTTTGAGTCTGTGTCTTCATGTGCCTCGTGGTTAAGGCAGTACATTTAGAAGTGGTGACCGATTTAACCATTGAAGGATTTATGGCAGCATTCAAGCGTTTCACTGCAAGACGAGGCAAACCCATGAATGTTTACTCTGACAAAGGCAAAAACTTTGTGGGAGCACGAAATGAACTCAAGGAATTGTACTCACTTCTACAATCCCAATCTCACAATGATATCATGCAAAATCATCTAGCAACTGAAGGCATCAAGCGGCATTTTATTCCACCCAGGGCTCCACACATGGGTGGTTTATGGGAAGCGTGTGTAAAATCATTCAAATACCACCTGTATCGAATCACAGATTGCCTCGTAACGCTCGAAGAGTTCAACACGCTGGTGATTGAGATAGAATCAATCTTGAACTCTCGTCCATTGACTCCTATATCCTCTGATTCTCATGACCCAACTGCACTATCCCCTGCTCATTTTTTGATAGGCGATTCATTGACTAGCGTACTAGAGACTACCTTCACTGACGTTCCAAGCACTCGTTTGTGTTCATGGGAAGTTATCCAGAAGAAGAGACAGGAATTCTGGAAGCGCTGGTACAAAGAGTATCTTAATGAATAAAATCGCAAAAACAAATGGACCCATGGACATCACAATATTTGAGAGGGAACATTGGTCATTCTACGTGAAGATAACGTACCTCCCAAGCAATAGATCTTGGAGCGAGTCATTGAGATCTATCCAGGGAGCGATGGAATCACACGAGCAGTAAGAGTGAAAACCTCCACTGGTGGATATGATAGAAATGTCCGCAAACTCACCGCGCTTCTTAATGAAAATGAAAAGGTAGATTCAGTGAATTAAAGTGAATAAAAAATAAGGACAGTTTAAAAAGACTCTAAGAAAAAGAAAATTCTAGAAGTTTAAGCTGTAAATGTTCCGTAGCTTAAGTTCATAACCAAATTCGAAATTCATAAATGAGAGTAAATGTCTTCAGTTAACTAATCCATCAAAACAAGTTTATTATAAAATAGCTAGCAGCTCTCAACGGGGTCAGGATATTGAGACCTCAGAAAAAAAAAACTTTTCGTTGCCATTCCAGAACCATAAATAATCGTAAATGTCCGACCGTACGTCCGATAATCCTCAAAATCTTCTTAAAATCATGTTTACATTTTTTCTATTTTATTGCACTTCCCTTAACTTTCGAGACGAAATGTGACGACCCTTCTGGTCATAAAACAATTGAGAAATTCCCCATACTTGGACTCAAGTGTCTGCGCAGGAGAGCAACAAAAATAGAGGATCCAGCAGAGGTACCAAATGCACATCCCTTCCCCCTGCAATCCTTGAAGCCAATAGTGTGAGGGATAATTACAATTTTAACCAATTGCAAGAGACTCCCCTTCCTCCGTTGAGAATAGTACGTTGTAGCCAATTAAGAAATAGAAATTAAACAGTTCCAAAACTTAACTGGAAGAGACAAGACTCCGCTCTGCCCATAATATCTCAGCTGTTAACAAGACCAGTAGCTCTGTTAAGTGTGCAATTAAATTGAAGTGAAATTATAAACAACAATAGTGACTCTGAACAATATAGAAAAACAATTTAGTGTTATTAAGTATTCATAGTGTAAATATTTTGAGATCAACTTTTGTAAAAATAAATTACGTGTACAGTGTACTAGTGCATGCCCACGTTCACTAAAACACCCCTATTGATCGTTGAGTTGGTTCACGTCCCACCTCAGCCGCCCATCCAACCGCCGTTCTAGTGTTAAGAATAGTTTTGGGCTTTACACCCCAAAAAGAATCGGTAAACACGCTGATCACGGAGGAAGCACGCGACAAAGACTTTAATGATATAAGTAATGTTCGTAATAAGCTCCAAAAAGTTAGCAAACCAGGGTCATCGGAGGGGGTCGGCGAATAGCTCAAAAATAGGGGCTTTTTAGGGGCTAATTTTCTGCAAGAAAAAAAAATTTCTGCTCAAATATTTTGGCTAAAAAACTCATTTTTCAATTCTGCACGTTAAGCTAGCAGACCAATGGGGTCGAATCGAGATAATTAGTGGCCCATGGTGGAGTACTAAATAGGGGCTAATTTTCTGCAAGAAAAAAAAATTTCTGCTCAAATATTTTGGCTAAAAAACTCATTTTTCAATTCTGCACGTTAAGCTAGCAGACCAATGGGGTCGAATCGAGATAATTAGTGGCCCATGGTGGAGTACTAAATAGGGGCTAATTTTCTGCAAGAAAAAAAAATTTCTGCTCAAATATTTTGGCTAAAAAACTCATTTTTCAATTCTGCACGTTAAGCTAGCAGACCAATGGGGTCGAATCGAGATAATTAGTGGCCCATGGTGGAGTACTAAATAGGGGCTAATTTTCTGCAAGAAAAAAAAATTTCTGCTCAAATATTTTGGCTAAAAAACTCATTTTTCAATTCTGCACGTTAAGCTAGCAGACCAATGGGGTCGAATCGAGATAATTAGTGGCCCATGGTGGAGTACTAAATAGGGGCTAATTTTCTGCACGAAAATAGTTCCATTTTTCCCGAATTTTTCCGCTATTTCCCAGGAGGTCAAAATGGGTCAGGTGAGGGTAGGGGTAAATCACGTACTTCGGACCCTAGAATCAGTGAATGCCTTCTAGGAAACATGGGCTTCAATTCAAAACTTGTCGCGAATTTTCTGCTCAGTTACTAAAGAGTCTAAGTCCTCACCGGCCCGAATGGGTCAATTCAAGATGGCTCCCTCGCACCACTCGATGGGTCGATACATTCAAAGAAATATGGGCTTCAATTTGAGCCCCATTAGAAATTTTCTGCTAGAATAATAAGGGCTTAAGTCCTCAATCACCGAAATGGGTTCATTCAAGATGGCTCCCTCCGGCCCCTCGACGAGTCAATACATTCAAGGGAATATGGGCTTCAATTTGGGCCTCATTAGAAATTTTCTGCTGGAATAATAAGGGCCTAAGTCCTCAATTACCGAAGTGCATCAATTCAAGATGGCTACCTCAGGCCTCTGCGATAGGTCACAACGTTCAAGGGATTATGGGCTTCAATTTGAACCCTATTAGAAATTTTCTGCTCCACTTTTAAGGGCCTTGGTCCCCCTAGGGCAAAATGGGTAAATTCAAGATGGCTTCCTCGAGCCCCTCGATGGGTCACTACATTCAAGGAAACATGGGCTTCAATTTGAACCCTATGAGAAATTTTCTGCTGAAATAATATGGGCTTCAATTTGAACTCTATTAGAAATTTCCTGCAGCATTATTAAGAGCTTTGATCCCCCCAGGGTTAAGCGGGTCAATTCAAAATGGCTCCCTTGAGCCCCTCGATGGGTCAGTACATTCAAGGAATATGGGCTTCAATTTAAATCCTGTTAGAAATTTTCTGTTACAATATCAAGGGCTTTGGTCCCCCCAGGGTTGAACGGATCAATTCAAGATGGCTCCCTCGGGCCTCTCCGATGGGTCAATACGTTCAAAGAAATATGGGCTTCTATTTGAGCCTCATTAGAAATTTTCTGCTGAAATAATATGGGCCTGAGTCCTCAATGATCGAAATGGGTCAATTCAAGAAGGCTCCCTCGGGCCCCTCGATGGGTCAATACCTTCGAGGAATTATGGGCTTCAATTTGAGCCCTATTAGAAATTTTCTGCTGCAATACTAAGGGCCTTGGTCCCGCCATGGTTAAACGGGTCAATTCAAAATGGCTCCCGCGAGCCCCTCGATGGATCAGTACATTCAAGGAANAAGATGGCTCCCTCGCACCACTCGATGGGTCGATACATTCAAAGAAATATGGGCTTCAATTTGAGCCCCATTAGAAATTTTCTGCTAGAATAATAAGGGCTTAAGTCCTCAATCACCGAAATGGGTTCATTCAAGATGGCTCCCTCCGGCCCCTCGACGAGTCAATACATTCAAGGGAATATGGGCTTCAATTTGGGCCTCATTAGAAATTTTCTGCTGGAATAATAAGGGCCTAAGTCCTCAATTACCGAAGTGCATCAATTCAAGATGGCTACCTCAGGCCTCTGCGATAGGTCACAACGTTCAAGGGATTATGGGCTTCAATTTGAACCCTATTAGAAATTTTCTGCTCCACTTTTAAGGGCCTTGGTCCCCCTAGGGCAAAATGGGTAAATTCAAGATGGCTTCCTCGAGCCCCTCGATGGGTCACTACATTCAAGGAAACATGGGCTTCAATTTGAACCCTATGAGAAATTTTCTGCTGAAATAATATGGGCTTCAATTTGAACTCTATTAGAAATTTCCTGCAGCATTATTAAGAGCTTTGATCCCCCCAGGGTTAAGCGGGTCAATTCAAAATGGCTCCCTTGAGCCCCTCGATGGGTCAGTACATTCAAGGAATATGGGCTTCAATTTAAATCCTGTTAGAAATTTTCTGTTACAATATCAAGGGCTTTGGTCCCCCCAGGGTTGAACGGATCAATTCAAGATGGCTCCCTCGGGCCTCTCCGATGGGTCAATACGTTCAAAGAAATATGGGCTTCTATTTGAGCCTCATTAGAAATTTTCTGCTGAAATAATATGGGCCTGAGTCCTCAATGATCGAAATGGGTCAATTCAAGAAGGCTCCCTCGGGCCCCTCGATGGGTCAATACCTTCGA